GATTCCCCTCTTGTTTATGCCTAACTCCATCCATTACTAACTTCCTCTCTCACTCCCATCACCATCACCACAGCTGTGCAGATAGAACCAACCTTGTCAGCACACTCAGTAAGGGGCCTGTCTGATAATGTCCCCACAGCTAAAGACCTTGCCACCCTCCCTTCAGAAAGCTCATCTTACTAACTTAAGCAGTGAAACAGCAGAATATGAGTTTAAACCACTACTGGGGAAGAGGAAGACTCTACCAAATAGCTACGGAATGTTCCCTATGTTTCAGAAAAAGTGTGGGGCACATCAACAACATCTTTATTTACTTCAGCCAGTAGGTAGTCATTACCATGCTTACTTTGCATATTTAATAGATATTTACTGAACATTTATTATGTATCAGGATGTTTTCTAGATGCTGGTCATATTGCAGTAAACCAAAACAAAAAAGACAAAAAGATAGAAAATCATTAATCATAGAGGTTAAAGACGAAATAATGAGTAAAATCTAAAGAATTAATTGGTGGTAAGTGCTGTGGAGAAAAACAAAGCAAGAAATGATAGGAAGGAAATGAGGAGGGAGGAAGGAAAAGGGAAGTTACAATTCAATATACCATGGCCCTACTGATATGCTCTCTGAGCAAAGACTTGAAGGAAGGCAAGGAGGTACCATATGCATATCTGGGAAAGAGGATTCCAGGCAGGTGTCAAGTGCCAAAGTCGTGAGGTAGCTATCTGTCTGGGTGCCATAGTGGCTGGAACAGAATGACCAGAAGGAATAGTGGTGACAGCTGAGTTGAGATGAAAATGAGGCCTGATCCTGCTGGGCCCCCATGGCACATGTCAGGGCTTTCTTTGTGGCTTCCTTTGAGCAAGATGGGGAACCACTGGAGGTTTTAAGCCAGAGGAGTTTACAGAGTAAGAAAAATAATGGCTCAGGAAAAAGCCCTGGGCCTTTCCCCTGTCACCTCTGAGTCACAATTGATTATGTTAAGGATGAACATCTGACTCCAAAGGAACTAAGCCAATCACTGATGGATCAAATCAAAATTAATTCCCTCTCCAAAATCTGAACTAAATATAAGAGACAAAATTAGCCAGTGTTGGGACTTAAATGAAAAAGTGATGCAGAGTCAAGGTTAGGATGGTTACTTCTGTTAGTATGGGCAGCTAGTTAGTTATTAACAAAGGAAGATAGCATATTAAGTCAGACATTAAGGCAGATTAACTAGGAAGAAGTAGCTTCACAGTCACTCCAGGCATCTGAGTGTACAGGAAAGACTGACTTTCCAATCTATCCAAGGAACAATAGGCTGTCCCACAGCTGAGACATGCGCAGCACAAGCCAGATGAGGAGGCAAAACTATGAGGCATTGGCAGTAGGAGCCAAAATAGTGACCATAAAGGGAGGAGTCTAGCCTGGGAAAATCTGAGAAAAAGAATAGGTAGGGTAAGGAAACAAAACCCCAGAAAATCCAGGAAAGAGATTGGATAGTTTGAAAGAAATCCTGCTCTCTCCCCAGTCCAAAGAAAAATAATCAAAGCTTAACAAAGACATAGGGGGCGCTCTCTCTCCATTCAGCCTCAAAGGCCTGGGTGTAGCAACCAGAGTGGCAGGTCAAAGCACAGCATGGAAAGTGAACCAGAGAGGAATGAGACTAAGCTAGACTACTAAAGCTTTGGATGCCAACTCTAGGGTAATGGCACAGCATCTCTGGACCACAACCCTCCTCCCGGGCTCAGTGGGGACAAGTGTGGGCCTGCGGCTCCAGAGGATGGACATCTGCCGCAATTTGGAGCTGAGACACCTGGTCATGGATGAGGCAGTGTGGCATCCTCTTCAGGGGTATCTATGTCTTGTGTGCCCCTCCAGTAAATCTTGTCACTGCACCTCAAACCCTCCTAAAAGCATGTTTCCTTAAAATGCATTTCCCATGATACCATGGAAGAATCCTATTTCTTCCAGCAACACTTTCCTAGTTCAAACAACCAGAAGTCAAACTGAAAATTAATGCCAAAGACCTGCAGGAAGGAATAGAGGCATGATGAGGCAGACCCTGAAGAGCAGGGAAGGAGAGGAGAACCTGTTGATCTCATTTTATAGCCTGAGGTACTTCCATTCTAGAGGACAAGAGATCTATGGGACCCAGGACTTTCCAATAAACCTCCAGCTTTGGCCTCTTTGTGTAGGTTTCTTATCCTCATAGTAATTAAAATCCCTGGATTAGTTTAGGCAGGCAGTGAACTATATTTTAGTCCCAACTACTACATGGCTTTAAGGATAAACCAGCTAAAGTAACTCCTGAGAGAAAGGGGCAGAAGGGCAATTGGATTCTATGGCCTTTCACCCAACTCTGGCTTCTCACAAAGTGCCATTATAACTCAGCAAGGTGCAATTCTATGACCTCACCCTCATTTTTAATTTCCTCACGTCAGTATCAATAGGAAAGCTTTCAGCATATCCTATAAGGCTAAATGAATGTATTTAGTGAAATTAAGTTATTGTTACTCTTTTACTTATTTATTTTTAAAAAACATATTTTATTAATTTTTACAGAGAGGAAGGGAGATATAGAGTTAGAAACATCGATCAGCTGCCTCCTGCACGTCTCCCACTGGGGATGTGCCCCAACCAAGGTACATGCCCTTGACCGGAATCGAACCTGGGACCTTTCAGTCCCCAGGCCAACACTCTATCCACTGAGCCAAACCAGTTTCGGCTATTATTACTCTTTTAAAATGAAGTAATTAAGCTGTGAAATATTTGCTTTGGGTTTAGTAGGTGCTGGGTGTTTGAAGGTCTTGGAAGCTCTCTTACCACAGGCAGGTTCCAATCTTGTTTCTTTGTGGGAAACAGGGCCAAGGTTAACTGCTGTCCTTCCCACCCTTTCCCCCACCATTTCCTCCTGGGCAGCATGCCAAGATGTCAAGAGAATACAGGAGAAAAGCAGAGATTACTGCATCTCTGTCAACTCTATATAGGAAATGTTCTGCTGTTTCTAAGTCTAGCGGGCACAAGAAAAGGAAAGCATTATCACACAGGGTCTGGTTCAGAGCATGCATCTCTCTGCCTACAGGCATGCAGGCTGACTCTCAGCCAATGCAAGTGAGAGCAATTAACTTGAAACACAGGCAGACAGGGCAGGGGTTCAATAGGAAACAAAGGCAGGGATAGATATGGCAGTTTGAGCAAGCCTAATCACAGAAACCAACCATGCTGAAATAATAGAATGTTTTTAGACACAGAGCGGGAGGCATAGGAAGCCAAGGGAGGGCCTGCAGCAACAAGGTGTACTGACGCACAGGAAAAAAGAAAAGAGAAAGTTCAGGTCCACTGCTGGGCAAGAACAATGAGGGAACCAATCAAGTGGCCACACAGGTAGATATAGAGCAGGCTTGTAGCAAATATATACCCCTACAGTACAAGGCTTCAGAGGCAGCCCATTATGGGGCCTTCCTCCCGGTGAGGGGAGTCTGACTGCTTGTAATAAATTTTCCACACTTTTGCTTAAATTTTCTGGTTCCTGGAGCTTATTCTTCAGTGTGGTGAGACACGACACCAGGGGGAAAAAACCTCCCCTCACCATTCAGGTTATCACAAGCAGCAGCCACCAGAGAGTTGGTCTGCAGTGCTGTACCCACCATGTAGAATCCCACAACTGCTCATCCTTAGGTTGTAACCAACAAGACCCGCTAATCTGCTAAGCTACCAGTTTATCTAATAGGATGGGTGAAGACTTTAGTAGTTAACAAATGACTGACAAGTATGCACCAGTCCTATAGAACTCCAAAGACATGAGTTAACTGATTGAAGACGAAAATGCACTTCAGATATTCTCTCAACATCTTTGCAGAAACTGGGGAAGCTGCAGGGATGAAAAATCTTACCTTCATGCTAATAAATCTAAGCAATGAGGCACTATCAGGTCAGTAAGGTCTAATTTTCTTAAGAATTAAAGGTAAAAAATCCCCACCAAATACCACCAGCAGTAGCTTAAAAAAAAATCATTTTTTCATGGTATGAATCTTAGTACTAATCTCATCCATGGTTTCACCCCATTTTCTTCTTTTCTCTTCATTGCAATTTCTCTACATAAAAATTTCAACCCTGTTGTGTTTTTTAAGAACATGAAAACCTCTAAGATAACAAAGCTGAGCAATAAATTTTCTTCTCAATTGTGATGTAAGAGCCTAAATCATCCAAATTGCCTAGTAATGAATGTCTGTTTTAGCCATTAGGAGGAGGTTCAAGGAGAGTAGAAATTAACAAAGGCATGAATTAATGAATGAATAAATGAACAGGTTTACTGTTTCATTAGCAGGAGAGCACAGAGCTCTCAGTGTGACAGAGACACAAAGGGTCCTCAAATGGCCTGTAAACTTTCTATTTAACAATCATCTCTTCTTAGAAGCTCCAAGGAATGCCTTTCTGTCCCCTCTAGGACAACTCATTATCTGATTTGCTCACAATGTAAAAGGTCAGTGACAATGGGTTCCATTGTCAAATCTATTTCCCAAATGATATTTCACCTAAATAGTCCCTAAAGCTATAAAAATCTAAGTAATAGTAAAGATTTTTATCTCTTGTTTGAGCCTTAAAGTGCAGATTACCTCCAAGTTGTCTTTGAATATCATTATTTACACAAAACAGAAAAGAGAAGGTAGCAATATACATTCCTTCCTATATAGGTATTCATGTTGGATGTATGTGTTTATCCTATGACTGTCATTAAAACTTTAGTAGACATCAACAACAGGAAACCTGGACATTCATAGGGAGGGGGAAGCCTTGTCTTACTTACCTGCATTTAAGGTTTCAACATTTATTGGTTTTGAATGTGATTGTACAACTGACTTTCAAGGGGACTGTGGAATAGACTTTACACCTTCTTTTAGGAGCTCCCTACACTCATGCCAAAGAAGAAACTACAGTGTCCTTAGGATACCTGGTAAGAGTCCCTATGCACCACTTCACTCAAGTACCGGATGGGCAGTCTCCTGAGGGCACTCACCAGAGTGACAATGGCACATTCAGCCGTCAGTTGAGCAGCACTGAACAGTGTCCGAACAAACCGGTAAATCTGCTTCTGCTCTGGGTTGTGTTTGTCATAATCTGGTGGCACTTCAGATTTCTGGGGAAAAAAATATTTTCAGATGCCAGGCCACCCAATAAGGGCAAAAGAGAAATAATTAAACAATATCATGAAACACGAGGAGGAGGAGATTACCGAAAGAGGATGAAGGTTTTCATCAAAAATATCTAAGAGCATCCTTCCATCTGGGTCTCTGGTGGGGAAAATTAATACAAAATGGAGTTTACTTTCTGCAAGAATGAGTGTCCTTCAAAATAAAACAAAATATATTTTGATTCAACTGTTATTTCAAGAAAGAGAAGGCAGCGAATAATAATTTGTTTTACTTGGGTACAGTATTAGATAATTTTTGAACAGTCCATGAAATAAAGGTTATAAATTAACTTGTGTGTGAATTCAAATTTTTATTTTCTGAGTTTTCAAGTGAACCAAATCTAAATTTAACATCTTGTGGTTTTTTTTTAAATTTATCTTTGTTGTTGAAATTACAAATGTCATCCCTTTTTCCCCCATTGACTCCCTCCATCCCGCCCCCACTAACATCTTGTTTCTTGAGCAAAGGCTGACAGATCTGCTTAAACTAGTAGTATGTTGTGGTTGACAAGAAGTCCAAAGGTAAAATGAACATTCAATGTATCCTAAAGATTAATCTGAAGAGTTTAACAACATGCAAAATTAACATTTCATTAAGAGTTTCACAATTTTGTACTGAAAAAATGAGGTGATGCATAGAAAAGCTCAACTCAATAACCTATAAACCTATAAAAAAAAATGGCTGGTTGCTCCATGTAAAGTGATGGCTTTCACTCTAAGCACAGTGTCTCAGGCAGCTGTCCTGCAGGGACTATTCATACCTCACCATAGACAGCTCTGCTTTTCATCTGTTGAATTTTGCCTAAAAACTTTTCTTTACAAACCATATTTGGAAACCACTGCTTTTGGTAACAACATATCATTCCCATAGTCTGTGCTTCCAATGTCAATTAGGGTTGTGAATAGAAGACTCCAGACCAGTCCCTAACACACAACCATGGTGGTAAACACTACAGTTTCTGCTCTATGAATTTACTGTCTACACAAAAATAAAAGAGAAAGAAAGATCTCAACAGAACAACTCAATGTGCATTATCGATTGTTTTTAAAGCTTTGGGCATTCATACCTGTGCTTATTTTCACTAGCCTGCAGGAACACAGGTAGCAAAGATTTAGATCAAGAGTGGGGAACTTCCAGCCCTCAGGCCTCGGCCCTGGAAATCCTTTGGTCTGGCCCTGCCAAGGCATTAGGGGTGAATTAATTAAATGTTTGACCAAATATAGCAGGCTAATTTTTAAGTTGATAATTTTGTATGGTCCGGGAATGATGTTATAAATATCCAAATGGCGCTTGGCAGAAAAAAGGTTCCCCACCTCTGATTTAGATAAACGCCAGTAAAGACAGGTTCAGCCAGGTAGGACCTGATAGTGGAGTCTGAAAACATAAAGATGGCTCCTTCTGGTGCACGTGGTGACACTTCCTTTTATAAGAACCCCAGCTATGAGAAATTAACCCATGCCTCACCTCACTAACTGCCTCTGCAAGATTACTCAAGGTGCTATGTGAGAGACAAAGCCTGGCTCAATACCCCTCTTCTTTGGGCTGTTCAGTCCTATTCAATTTTTCTGATAAGGCCCTTCAGCACTCTCAAGGAATATTCACCAGAAGTAATTTTAAAAATGAAAACGTAGGTTCAAAATATAAATGAAGATTAAGAATTTAAGCTAAAATGACTCCTCCATGAAATAGATTTTTCTTTCACCTCCATCAAAAGTTACGTGTCTCAGCTGATTAGCACCATAATGGATCTATCACCAGCTCCAGAGGTGTGGCCAGTATGATTTATCAAGGAGAAAGTCTGCAGTTGGTCAATGCTACCTCATCCCAAGAAGGTACAATCTGTATGTCAATCATGCTTGTTTACAAATGCTCACTTTTTCAGTTGGACTTTCTCACTTCCATTCACTTACTTTTGGCCCAGTTCATCACCATTGGGCAAGTAAAGTACATGATTAAAAGTCTCGGTGGCCGGGACCGGAGCGTCAGCCTGCGGACTGAAAGGTCTCAGGTTTGATTCTGGTCAAGGGCATGTACCTTGATTGCGGGCACATCCCCAGTGGGGGGTGTGCAGGAGGCGGCTGATCGATGTTTCTAACTCTATCTCTCTCCTTTCCTCTGTAAAAAATCAGTAAAATATATTTTAAAAAATAAATAAATAAATAAGTAAGTAAAAGTCTCGGTGGTATGTTGCCTGAGTTCAATTTCCCCATCCCCAATTTACCAATTGTGTAATCTTAGGCAAATTATTTTACCTTGCTGTACCTCAGTTTCTCTATCTGTAAAATGGAGATAACACTGAGACACAAAATGGTGAGTTTGGACTCTCATTGTGGGGTTCTTGTCCTACGAAGTTTGAAGAATAAAATTCGCAGACTAAAAGATGTTAAGCAAAAATGTGGAAGTTTATTTGAAGTGTACACAAACTCCCCCTGGGGAAGGGTCCCCAAATGGGAAAAAATGCTCTCTCTAAAATGGGAAAAAATCAAGTCCTCTCAGTCTCTTTGTGTCTGGGTTTATAAATGCTGTGAGCTCTTTGTTCATTCCACTTTCTAATTGGACCCTTCCTTAATTCATATTCCCTCGTGCTTTTCTAATTGGCTACTTTCCTGCATGGTATCAGTTTCAAAGTTTTAAAGCTCACTCGTTGCCCTCCCCCCTTCTCCTGTTCTTGTTCCTCTTATCTTGTAACATTCCTCCATTCTCTGTGAATGTACGATAAGCAATCTGGCAGCTTGGAGCTGTCTCAACCCGTTATGTATGTCTTCCTCTCTCATGGACCCCACTTCCCTAAACTTGCCTTGCCTGTCCCTAAAATTCCTTTCAATATCACTATCACCTCATGAAGTTATTATGAAAGCTAAATGAGCCTGACCAGTGTGACTCAGTGGTTGAGCATCAACCTATGAACCAGGAGGTCGTGGTTTGATTCCTGGTCAGGGCACATGCCTGGGTTGCAGGCTTGATCCCCAATAGGGGAATGTGCAGGAAGCGGCCGATTGATGATTCTCTCTCATCATTAATGGTTCTCTCTCTCCAATAAAAAAAAACAAAAAACCCACATAAAACCCTAAATGTAAAGAGCTGCCGGGGTGGCCAGAGTAAGCACTTATAAAGTTGGCTCTTAGTATCAGCTATGACTATAAATTAACTTTGGTATCTATAACAGTCTAAGAACTGAGAAATCACTTAGAGATACTAATGCAAAACTGGTTGGCTTGGAAACACAGCTGAGTTCCATGAGTGGTATTACACTGTTATCTAAGACTTAAATGTTTAAAAAGTTTGAAAGACTACCAGAGAAATAAGCAGCAAGACAAAACCTACACTTTCATTGATATGTTATTCTGGTCAAGGTTTAAAGGTCCGGTCCAGTAGCCTACATTTTATAAATTTTTAAATCCAAAATTCTCAAGCACCATAAAGAACCATGAATCACAATTATAATACAGGAAAATGTAACTACAGAGAATACCTTTCCAGGTGTTTACCTCCAGATATTTGTATTTTCCCATAAGACTGTTCAGAAGAACCTCTGTCATCTAACTTCCACTTGATTGACTTATCACAACTCTCCCATGCCCTTTTTGTAAAACACACTGAAGGCAGTGTGGTGCCCACCCACTGAGATCCATTCCAACCATGAGGTGCCCATGCTTGTTCCCAGAAATGGGTCACATCAGTGTTTTTAAAACAAACAACAAAGACAGGCCAAAATGGAGTCACTTTTGCTAAGCTATGTCACCAAACCAACACTTAATAACTAATCTAACTGCAGATTCAGGAGTGGAATTTTAAGCCAATCAGTTTGGAATTTCCTATCAGCACTACTAAGGCAATCTGCCTTCCCTAAGGAAAGGTATCCTTGCCTGAAATAATCCACTCTTTTAACTTCTTAGTCCCACCCTCTTTCTGCCTATAAAAACTTTCTATTTTGCCCTGGCCATTGTGGCTCAGTTGATTGAGAGTTGTCTTATACACCGAAAGGTGGTGGGTTCGAGTCCTGATTAGGGCACATACCCAGGTTTCCAGTTCAATCCCTGACAGGAGGCAACCCACCCATGTTTCTTTCTCACTTTGAAGTCTATCTCTCCCTTCCTCTAAAATCAATACAAAACCCCCCCACAAACATACTTTCGATTTTGTATAACTCCTGAAACTCCCATCTACTGCTGGGTGGAATGCTGCCCAATTCATGAATCACTTAATAAAGCCAGTTAAGCTTCAAATATACTGGGTTGAATTTTTTTAAGGAAG